CCCTGTGGATCTGCCACTAACCAAGGCCAGAGAGGAAAAACCGTCAAGCCAGCAGCACAGCCTCGGCGGCTCCAGAGCGGAAACGCGGAGCCGGGGGAGGGACCCAAACCAGGGGCTCTCAGACAAAGGCCGAGGAGCTCCTGGAAGCCCGCCCTTTCCGCTCTGGCCCTAAGGCGGGTTACACGGTTCTCAACCTCTGATTGGACAGGGGTTCAGCCCCGCCCCATGCCTTGAATGACAGTAAACGGTGCCAACCAGAGGATGAATAAGGACAGAATGACGGGCTCTTGGTTTCACTAAGTATAACTCCTGCGGTGGGGGCTATTTTTAAGGTGGGATTTCCTTCTTGTGGGAGTAGCTATTGCTTTGGGGACGTCTGCATTTAAGCTTTTTGTAAGGTCAATATCACAGTATACTTGTGGTACAGGAGAATAAAAACTCCCAACCTGAATGATATCTGGGACGAGTTCGTGTTCTCTAAAATCGAAGAATGAATTTTAGGGTCAACGGAGGTTAAGAGCAGAGTATATTTATTGAGGGAAAGAAAAGAAAGCTTCTGTCCAAGAGAGGGACAGATCGGGGGAGGCCCGAGTGGGTTACCGCAAGACTCTGTCTTTTTTAGGGACTTTTATAGAGCAAAACCACGAAGTGAGGCGAGTCCAAGGTAGGGGAAAAATGGACAAAACTATGGTCAGCCAATAAGAATTGTTCAGGTAAAATTAATTAAACCGGGATAAAATGGGGAAGCGAGTCACGTAGCAAGCGGGCTTGAATACAGAACCGGGGTTTTTCCTGTAAGGGGTTGGGTCAAGGCCTCTTCAAGGTGATCACTACCCATTTAGAATATCAATCCCTGATGTCCATCCCTAGGGAGGTATGTGGGTGTATTTGTTTAGTCCTTTGTCCTGAGGTATGGCCCACGGCAAATACATATCTTTCATGTTGGCTCCTTCGAGGGCCTGGCCCTGCCCGACTGCCTATAATATTTCTATTTAACTCAGCCGCCTATAACGCTTGTAATCCCAACAATACTGATACTGAGCCAGGAGAATCAAAATTTGGGCACAGCCTGAGCAATTTAGTGACTTAGCCGCAACTGGTCTTTTTTTTTTTTTGGTTTTTGGTTTTTGTCCGGTACCGGGAACCGAACTCACAACCTTGCGCTTGCCAGGCAGGCGCTTTTGCCGCTGAGCTAAATCCTCAGCCCCCAGAGATGTATTTTGTACATATATCTACTCCCTAAGATGATGTAAACTTCAGGCACTCTAACCGTGTACTAGTAAAATACAATTTGAAAAAGAAACGCTTCAGGACAGACATACAGAAATAAATTCCAACACAATAAATTGTGAGTGACTTCAATAT